ACATTGGGAAAATCTCTGCTGCTATAGTTACTGATCTGTGTGTGAACAGTCTACAATTTTATTATTATGATGTACTTTTTTCAACTGAATTGGGCCTTTCTTCAACTAGAAAGTATTTTTTCTTTCTTTCTTTCTTTTTTTTTCTTTTGTTTAGGTGCATGGAGTTACTTTTCAAATTAACAAATGGTAAAAATCAGGGAAGTCTGGATATTCCTCTGGTTTATAGGCATCTAATAAAATCTATTAATTACTTATACCTTGATAATCATATATGAGTAATTTTCTCAATAGGCATGTAGCTTTCAAGTAATAATAGAATGCTGCTTTTCAAGATACTGGGTAAAACAATCCATTGAGATAGAAAAATAATTATTTATTTTTTAATCTATAAAAAATCAACATTCCAAAAGATTGACACTTGACATACATTATCTAAAAAATGATAAACAGAAAGAAGGGAGATAACTAAGTAGTAAATAATTTAGCAGACCAGAAATGTCAGCACTTAAGCTAGGGAAATAAACTTGACTTGTATTGCAGAACCCCAGAAATGCTCAGAAATTTGAGACATCAGATATTTCTAAAAGCAGGGCTAAAAACAGATTGACTGTTTCTACAGAAAGTAGTTAAAGCCCCAGAGCCTTTCCCTCACATCAAGCATTCAGGCAACTATACTTTTACCTGAATGAGAAGTAAAGATAGATTTGTTCTCTGGAGAGACCAAACTAAAGAAGGGGAGAATTTAGAGGCACCAAGGAAACCTCATAGGGAACATAACTTACTGAAAAAAGAGAAATTAAGTCAAAGTCTGAAATACTGAAAGCACCACTCTTAGCCCCTTTCTCCACTTAGCTACTAGACTGCTCAAATTGCCAGAGTCTAGTTAGTGAAATTGATTACCCTCAGAGAAAAGACAGAATTAGGGAGTCCACTCCAAAGAAAAAGCTCATTCAAAACCTCTTCAGTGAAACACATTCCTCAATATGATACACTTGTGCTCACAGAGATTCTGAACCAAGTTTTTTAGTTCTTCACTTTTAAATATTGACGGAATATTAACTCATATTTAAGGAAAGCCTATACTATTCAAGACCAAAAACAAACAAAATAAACAAAGACCCCAAAACAAACAAATAAAAACCAGCTGGACATGATGGTTCACACCTTTAATCCAAGCACTTTGGGAGGCTGAGGCAGGACAGTTGCAAACAGAAAAATCAGCTGGGCATGGTGGTACACGTCTGTAGTCATAGCTGCTCAGGCAGCTGAGGCACAAGAATCACTTGAGACCAAGAGTTTGAGGTTGCAATGACACCACTGTACTCCTCTAGCCCAGATGACAAAGCAATACCTTGTCTCAAAAAAAAACAAAACAAACAACAACAAGAACAAAACCCAAGTACTTAGAGAAAACAGAAACAATGCAGGGAGAAGTAAAAAATTCATTGAATTGGGAGGTAAAGATAAGCAATTAGATGTTTGATTCAATGAAATTCAACATATAAAAGGAGAAGTTCTATAAAGTCAGAACAGAAAATGTACAGGAAAAGGACATTGTAAAAAAAAAATTCAACAAAATATCTCAGAAGAAAAGGATGAGACTTCAGATTGAAAGGACAACCTGTGTATCCAGCACATCTTGGAAAATTTTTGGAATGCTATCAATAAAGAGATGATTCTATAACAAATCTTTCATTCTTTGTGTCACAAAAGGAATCAGTGCAATACCAGACTTCTCAACAACAATACTGGAAATAAGAATCGATGGAGAAATATGTTTAATATTTGGAGGAAAAAATTGGAGAAGCCACCATATATGTGCACAATTTGAGTAAATGAGGATAGAGGAAAACTAGAGAACAAGAAACAAGCCATCCAACACAACAGAGCAGGAATGATAATCCCCAATGTGATGATGAAGATATCTGAGGATAGAGGTCGCAGAGAGCAACCATTTCAAACTGGAGGAAGAAGACAGGTGTCTTCTGTTTGTTTCACTCATTTCCTTATCTTTTATATTGTTTTCTTCACCACTGTAATTGCATATTAGTAATAGTACACGGAAAACCAAGGACAAAACAAACAAAAAATAATTATTAATTATTCAGAATAAAAAACATTTTTCATGAAGGAAATGATATCCTGGATAATAAAATAATCTATACTGTTTAATACTACTTCTCTAAGAATGAATCCAAGAGATAATTAGTGGAGAATAACACTTATCTACTTAACCTTAAAGGGTGGATTCCTGGTAATCATTTTCTATTTCCCATTAATTTGACATCTTATGCCCACAAATTTTTCTTAATACCTTTTTCTGTATGGGCATGATGGCTCATGCCTATAATCTTTGCACTCTAGGAGGCCAAGGTGGGTGGAGCTCCTGAACTCAGCAGTTTGAGACCCAGTCTGAGCAAGAGCAAACTCCCAGCTCTTCTAAAAATAGAAAAATTTGCTAGGCCTCATGATGGGCATCAGCTACTTAGGAGGCCTAAGGCACGAGGATCACTTGCACCCAAGAGTTTGAGGTTGCTCTGAGCTATGATTCCATGGCACTCCCTAGAGAGACAGAGTTAAGACTCTGTCTCAAAAAACAAAGAAACAAAACCAAAAAAACCCTTTTTCAACCCATGAATATATGTTTAGCTTATACTCTACAGTAGCAAGTGCTGTGTGATTATTAAAATCATATCAAGTAATTCTAAAACCAGATTCAAATTACAAAGGGAGATACTATAGCTCTAGTATTCCAGAGTTTTGTGAAGAAATATATCATTTTGGCCCTCATTTTAAACTTTATAATTACTTCCTAAAATAAATAAATGAATTTCCTTTTGATTTCCTACTTACAATTAAAATACAGACATTTCTGCTTGGCTCTATTCTGAGCTCATAGAGGACTTTTATGCTTTAACTGATTTTGCCACCCATCTTCAAAAATTCTTTCCTTACACTACTATAATAATGTTTACCATATTAAAGTCCTTTACATTCTACTTCAGATGTATATTAGCAATAATCTAAAATAGCTGACATTTCTAATATTTTATTATAAAGGAGAAAATAATCTGTGTTTCTCTTATGACTGTGCAACTTCCTTATTTCTATTACTGATTGTGGTATGTAACCTATAAAAAGAGCATCACCCTATGATTATCAACAAAGCTTCCAACATTTAAATTTTATTTATAAAAGAATTAGTTTGCCCGATTTTTCTCTTCCTAAAAGTTCTTATCAACACCCAGTACCATCATTTTGTAGCCTCCTCTCCCTTTTTACCTCATTTTTAAAAGTGATGTTTAGGCACATATTTACAAATACATTTACTACTAAACCATGTTCTACCACAAGTTTTATAAATGGAAAATTCTTTAAATTGAACAAATTATAAAAAGAAAAAAAATAAGCTAAAGATTTCCTTGATCATCCCGTTTTGAATAAATTGCTCTCTAGAGACAAAAAGCAAAATAGCAATGACATTTTTATTTATACTCAACCTTTCATCTGAAAACATATAATCTGTAAGAGTGTCTATTACCCCAATTTTACCACTGAGGCATAGAATTACAAAGATTGAACTGAAGTGAACTCAAAAGGTTATCTAATCTAGCTTCTATATCTAAGAATGACTGCATTTTAACAATCTAAGAGATATGTCCATCTTCTCTATTTTTCAAAATGTCCAGGGAAGATGTTTCAACTCACTTTAGAAATTGACTCTGGTCTGTAATATCCCTTGTTTTACTCATAATACAAATCTGAAGATAAGAAGGGGAAAAAAAAAAACAACCCAGGTTTCTCAGCTCCTTGGCATATGTTCTTAACCAGTAGTGGTTATAAAACCACCACAAAAATAAGTAAATTAAGAAATACATATTTTTATAAAATTTCTAATAACTAGTCAACTATTTGCATGTTCCAAGCAACATTCAATTTGAAATATTCAGAAACAACAAAATTATTTTTATTTCATAATAAGAATTTCCCATTAGGAAGAAAAATAATTTATATTGTGTATATAGTAGGAGTCTTAAAGATCAGAATAGAAAGCATTTACTGGGAACTTTCTGGATACCAGTCATTGAACTCCATGTGTAACATAACACTGAATTCTCACTGCAGTTCTCTGATATAGACACTATTGTTATCCCTATTTTTCAGATGAAGCTCAAGGAAACTAAGTTGCTTAAGGTCTCATAGCTGGTAAATGGTGAAGCCAAAAACGATTATGTTTTACTGTCTCTCTAACTCATTCTTAATAAATTCAGTTACTATATTATTATTATTATGCTGCTTTGAGTTAGGTGAAAAATCCTTATTTGTACTATCACATTGGGGATTAAGAAAAATCCTCAATTGTGTTTTTTCAAATTCCCATTAATTCCTCCATAGTTTTTAATATCAAAGATGATCTGGGAACTATAAATACCTTCTTAAAAACATGTTTATATAGTAAGTCATGCTTTAAATTTTGTTTTTTAAAGTTTGCATAACTATTTCCTGATTTTTTTTGTAGGCTCATCCAATTTTGTTTTTAAAAATGATATGAATACTTTCAAACTGAATTTTAGTTATTTTGGACTTCGCTAATTCTCTGAAGAGGAGTGTTTTAGGTCTTCTTACCATTCTAAATGTAAAGGGGCAGATTTGAGATTTGAAGCAAGCCCAGCTTAGATTGGCTTCCATTTAAATATCTTATAAAATAGTGTAACTAATTAGAATGTTTTCTCTAGTATAAACATAACTTTTCATTAGGTAAGTGGCCAACTATGTTAGCTAAATAATTTCCTGGAATATTGTTGCTATGCTAAGGTAATTTATGGTGTTAGTGTTATAATCAGACTTGTAATCATGTAAATTTTTTAGTTCTATGTAATGCCTTCTTAATAATTCAGTTTATTAGTTTATATTGATATCTAGAAGGAAAAAAAAACACATTTCAAAAGCCACAAAAAATTAACATTTAATTCATACCTCAATATTTAATACAAAATTACCTTTTCCATTGTTTCCTTTCCTACTGTAATCTCATGCCCATCCTGCCCCATGCCATTTTTAAAGAACAGAATTCGGACTGAGGTCTTCTCAGTAAGTTTCTTCATTCTAATGGAAAGAACAGGCTTGGTTTTCCGTCTTTTGACATCAGTAGGAAGCATCAACCCATTCATTGTCCAAGTTACTTTCTTCATTAACAACAGATGGTCTAGAAGATAATTTTTTTTAAGTCAAGTCAATATTTGGCTTTAAAATTTAAAATGGACACATCATGCTTCCCTCCCCCTACTACCTGTATCATATACACTGGCCAGTCTCCATTTAGATGCTGGTTTTCTGAAATTCTACCACCAGCTTCCCACTAACCGTGACATAAGCTGTAGCAAGCTGTCTGCTCTGATAGCCTGCATAAATCATCATTTCTGAAGGGAACAGATGTTCAGGGTATGAAAGAGTAATACCACAATTTAGTCCTAATTAAAATTCACCTTAGCATGCCTCTATCACTGATGAGATGCACACAGCTGAAAGGGTCCATTGCAAAGGTCCAATGTCCTTTGCTTCCTATAAAACAACATGGGTCCTGAACTCCTGTGCCCTTTAGAGTTGGGAAACACTTTTTTCCTCTTTAATACGATTTCTTGTCCATGTTGCTTTAAAGGTGATGACCTCCAAATGGTGACCTCCAAATGGTATCTCTTCTCCTATGACTAGAATGAAGGTGCTTTCTAGGACATCTTTGGTGAGAGATTTAAACCATTTCACTAAAAATGAAAAACAGTTTTTTACTAACAATTTACTTTGACCTATACATTTTCAAAGCTGTGTGCAGAAATCTAAGTTTCAAAACTCCCACTAACATTTAACGGAAGTGTGACTAAATTACTGTGTATGTCTTTGAAATGGTAAGGGTGAGAATAGGAAAGCAGTATACTGCAAACTGGTTGCTATCAGCATTCTTCTCTTTTCAAGAGGTTTTGTTTCATAAATAAATAATCTTCACCTGAGTTACTTTATTTGTGCATTCACTTTATTTTAGATCATATTTTCTTGTCATAAAAATTACGAAAATATAATTGTCCCTCCCTCATCTGCTCTTATTTGTTCTAATGACAAAAACATAATTTTATTTATCTATAACTGAAAATAGCTATATTTTTTTTTGTCCAAACTTCCAAATGACCCTACCTTTATTAGCACTTACCTTAAAAGAAGATTGGTTTCTTTGACCTAGACATATAACCTATTAATATTAATATGAAACATGAGCCAGTAGTTATAAATAATCTTCAAGTCTCAGAACGGCTATATTAACATTCAAAAAAAAAATCCTCTATTCTCTCTCTCTTTCTGTCAACCACACATATACGTACATACAGTGGGCAGAAATATAAGCAAAATTTGTCAATTAAAACTAGATTATAAAACCACAGATGTAATTAGCCTTCAAAAAGGAAAAATATTTTAATGGAAATTAGTTACTACATCTTTTTCATTTTGTAATCTGAAATTGATAGGAATTAGAATTAGAAAAAATGAGTTCTAAGTTAATGAGTTTATATGTATCCAAAAGATCCTCAAGAAGCTGACTAAAGAATAAATAAACAAATAAATATTTAATAACATGTATCCAAAGGAATTAAAAACAGGTACTCAAATGCATACATGTACACATATACTTGCAACAGCACTATTCCGAATGGCCAAAATGTGGATGCCTGTAAATAGATGGGCAAATGATAGTACAATGTATATTCATATGATGGAATATTATTCAGGCATAAAAAGGAATAAGGTACTGATACTTGCTACAATATGGATGAATCTTGAAAACACCATGCTAAGTGAAAGAAACCAAACATGAAAGGTGATTCCATTTACATGAAATATCCAGAAAAGATGGTTGCCAGGAGCAAGGAGGAAAGAAGAATGGAGAGAAACTGAATGAGTCAGGGATTTTATTTTGGAATGGTATAAACGTTTTGGAACCAGATAGAGATCGTGGCTGTAGAACACTGTGAATATACTAAATACTAATTGTTCACTCTGAAATTATTAATTTTATGTTATGTACATTTCACCTCAATAAATGAATAAATAAGAAGGAAGGAAGAAGAAGGAGTCTTATGGTCACTATATTTCTGAAAATAAAAACATACCTTTCACTGGGGAAAAAAAAAGGTAACAAATTTTCACAGTTTGATGGGAGTTCACACACAATCTCAACGCCCTCAGATGCTTTGCACAGTATAAAGCAGATGTCCTCAAACTATGGCCCACGGGCCATATGCGGCCTGCCTAGGACATTTGTCCAGCCCACCAGGTGTTTTTGCCGCTGCTGCCTGTCCTGCTTAGCAGCCCACTTGTCCCGGGGCCCTCAGTCCAGCCCTCCAATAGTCTGAAGAACAGTGAACTGGATAAAAAGTTTGAGGACTCCTGGATAAAGGGCATAAACTCCCACATTCAAACTAGGTTTGAATCCCAGCTTTGCTTTATAGTGACCCTAGGTTCTTTATACTTCCTTGAATTTCAGATTTCTCATCCACAAAGTAGCTATTGATCATCACTCCATCACCTGCTAAGGATTAAATATCTTATATGTAAAGGCACATAACATATTGAAGTCACACCATAAATGTTAACTTCTTCCCCTACCTCTCTCAATCCTATTGCTTATTACACAGCTCTAGAGCAGAGGTTATCAACCTGTGGGTCACAGCCCCTTTGTAAGCATGAAAATACATCCTACATATCAGATATTTACATTACAATTCATAACAGTAACAAAATTACAGTTATGAAGTAGCAGTGAAAATAATTTTATGTTGGGGGTCACCACAACATGAGGAACTGTATTAAAGGGTCATGGCATTGGGAAGGTTGAGAACCACTGCTGTAGAGAATATTAATTTTCATATTCACCAGGGACCAAACAGGAAAATTATCTACTCAGAGTATCAGAGCAAAGGGTATAAACTGCAGGAAATTGGTCACATTAAGTGAAGGAAAAGGCTGAGTAGCAACCAAAGGACAGTGAAACAACCCAGAGACTGGCAACAGCAAGAAACCACTCCCATCAAGGCCTAGATTTAGAGGATCTTACCCACAAAGGATTTTCCCCTTTGATTACTTCAACCAAAAGCAGAACTAGGGTAAAAGGAGTGAAGAGCCAATGAGGCAAAATTTCAGGGAGCCTGGGCTCTCACAGAACCCTTGGACTTCTTCCAAGGGTTCTCAAATTTTGTCCCATAAGTGCTTAATTCATCCCACCCTGGGCCCAGCCCTGGCGTTGACTATCTCCTCTATATGACGAACTCCTTAATTCCACTAAAAACAGCACTTACTATTACCAGGCACTATTTGTTTACGTATTTATTTATTCATCCATTCATTCATTCATTCAGTTTGTCTTCTCAACAACTTTATGAGGTAATATTATTCCTATTTACAGGTGAGGAAACTGAGGCACACAGGAGCTAACTTACCCAAGATCTTGCAGCTGGCATACAGTGGCACTGGGATTTAAATTTACTTCAAGAAACTGTGCTCTAATCACTACACTATTCACCTCTATCATACATTATCGGCGTTATCTCAAATTCAACATGTCGGTGGCACCTGTGGCTCAGTGAGTAGGGCAGTGGGTTCAAACCTGGTCCCGGCCAAACTGCAACAAAAAAATAGCTGGGCATTGTGGCAACCACCTGTAGTCCCAGCTACTCAGGAGGCTGAGGCAAAAGAATTGCCTAAGCCCAAGAGCTGGAGGTTGTTGTAAGCTGTGACACCATGGCACTCTACCATGGGTGATAAAGTGAGACTCTGTCTCTAAAAAAAATAGAATAAAATAAAAAATCAAATTCAACATGTCAAAAGCAAAATTTCATATCTTTCTGCACAGACGGACTTGCCCTTCACAGTTTTTCTGTTTGTTTTTGGTTATTGTTGCTGATGTTTTGAGACACAGTCTCACTCTGTTGCCCCATCTAGATTGCAGTGGAATCAGCATAGCCCACTGCAACCTCAGACTCCTGGCCTCATGCAATCCTTCCTCAGTCTTCTGAATATATGCCACCATCAGCCTAATTTTTCAATTTTTTTTTTTAACTTTTTGTAGACACAGGATCTTGCTATTGCCCAGGCTAGTCTTGAATTCCTGCCCTCAAGCAATTCTCCTGCCTCAGCCTCCCAAAGTGGTAGGATTATAAGATGAGCTATTGCACTCAGGCCCTTGTCAGCCCCTTCACAGTTCTTATTTCTACAGTTGGTTCCACTTCTTTCACAGTTATGTGCAATCTCAGGAATCTCACAGTTGTGAGATTGTGCAATCTCAGGAATCTCACAATCTGTGTAATCTCACAGGTCTTATTTCTACAATTGCTTCCATTTCTTTCACAGTTATGTGCAATTGGGGGGGAACTTGGAAATTCAAGTTCCAAGAACTTAAACTTTTCCTCCTTATTGATTGAATGATATTTATTGGGTATCCACATATCAAAGCACCAAGGTGATAGATGCTTGTGGAGTTCACAGCCTTCAGGGGAGAGGATGACAGTGAGAGCTGATAAGGTGACTTCTGAATAGAGAAGCCTGCCTGCATGATAAGAGTTAGTCATGAAAATTGAGGGAAGACTATTACAGGCAGAGTGAAAACTAAGCACAACTACTCTGAGGTAAGAATGGGCCTGCCATGTCCAAGAAAGAAAAATAAAGTTTATATTGAAAAAGACTATATATGGTGAAAGCCAAAGAAATAGGAAGGGGCCAGATTGTGCCAGTCATGATAAAGGGTTTGGGGCCAAGTACAGTGGCTCATACCTGTAATCCTGGCAGTCTGACAGGCTGAAGTGGGAGGACTGTGTGAGTCTTAGGAGTTCGAGACCAACCTGGGCAATAGCAAGACCCTGTCTCTACTAAAATTAGAAAAAAATAGATAGGCATTGTGGTAGGCGCCTGTAGTCCCAACTACTTGGGAGGCTGAGGAAGGAGGATTTGTTGAACTGAGTTTGAGGTTGCTGTGAGTTAGGCTGGTGCTATGGCACTCTAACCTGTGGCAACAGAATGAAACTCCATCTAAAAATAAATACAATACAATAAAATAAAAGGTTTGGATTTATTCTGGATGTAATAGGAAGTTACTGAAAGGTTTTCAGGCAGGTGCTATGAAGAAGAGACTACAATTGTCCCTTGGTATCCACTGGGAATTAGATC